AAATTCAAATAATTTTTACACCTATTAGAGAAGTTCATTAGCTTTCGGAAAATATATACTTCGCTATGCGTAAAAATATTTTTCGTTGCGTTAGAGAGTGAAACATGTCAAGCTGTAGAGTCCGGCGCGCGCTCGAGCCGCGATTCGATCGTCCAAGATCAGGCAAAAATTAAATATAAAAAGAACTACTCGCTTCAGAAGAGTCTCTTTTTCTGTGCTCTTAGCGCACACGTTTTTTTAGCGGCACACAAAATTAAGAATCTGCATCTGCGTTTATTATTACCTTTGTTAAACTTAAATCGACCATCCACCCAGAGCGCCCGAAAACTTGTTTTGCCTTCCAAGTAAGTGGTTAGATCGAAATATGAAGAAGAATAACTCCGTTTAAATTCAAATACTTTTTACACCTATTAGAGAAGTTCATTAGCTTTCGGAAAATATATACTTCGCTATGCGTAAAAATATTTTTCGTTGCGTTAGAGAGTGAAACAGGTCAAGCTGTAGAGTCCGGCGCGCGCTCGAGCCGCGATTCGATCGTCCAAGATCAGGCAAAAATTAAATATAAAAAGAACTACTCGCTTCAGAAGAGTCTCTTTTTCTGTGCTCTTAGCGCACACGTTTTTTGAGCGGCACACAAAATTAAGAATCTGCATCTGCGTTTATTATTACCTTTGTTAAACTTAGATCGACCATTCACCCAGAGCGCCCGAAAACTTGTTTTGCCTTCCAAGTAAGTGGTCAGATCGAAATATGAAGAAGAATAACTCCGTTTAAATTCAAATAATTTTTACACCTATTAGAGAAGTTCATTAGCTTTCGGAAAATATATACTTCGCTATGCGTAAAAATATTTTTCGTTGCGTTAGAGAGTGAAACAGGTCAAGCTGTAGAGTCCGGCGCGCGCTCGAGCCGCGATTCGATCGTCCAAGATCAGGCAAAAATTAAATATAAAAAGAACTACTCGCTTCAGAAGAGTCTCTTTTTCTGTGCTCTTAGCGCACACGTTTTTTGAGCGGCACACAAAATTAAGAATCTGCATCTGCGTTTATTATTACCTTTGTTAAACTTAGATCGACCATCCACCCAGAGCGCCCGAAAACTTGTTTTGCCTTCCAAGTAAGTGGTCAGATCGAAATATGAAGAAGAATAACTACGTTTAAATTCAAATAATTTTTACACCTATTAGAGAAGTTCATTAGCTTTCGGAAAATATATACTTCGCCATGCGTAAAAATATTTTTCGTTGCGTTAGAGAGTGAAACAGGTCAAGCTGTAGAGTCCGGCGCGCGCTCGAGCCGCGATTCGATCGTCCAAGATCAGGCAAAAATTAAATATAAAAAGAACTACTCGCTTCAGAAGAGTCTCTTTTTCTGTGCTCTTAGCGCACACGTTTTTTGAGCGGCACACAAAATTAAGAATCTGCATCTGCGTTTATTATTACCTTTGTTAAACTTAGATCGACCATCCACCCAGAGCGCCCGAAAACTTGTTTTGCCTTCCAAGTAAGTGGTCAGATCGAAATATGAAGAAGAATAACTCCGTTTAAATTCAAATAATTTTTACACCTATTAGAGAAGTTCATTAGCTTTCGGAAAATATATACTTCGCTATGCGTAAAAATATTTTTCGTTGCGTTAGAGAGTGAAACAGGTCAAGCTGTAGAGTCCGGCGCGCGCTCGAGCCGCGATTCGATCGTCCAAGATCAGGCAAAAATTAAATATAAAAAGAACTACTCGCTTCAGAAGAGTCTCTTTTTCTGTGCTCTTAGCGCACACGTTTTTTGAGCGGCACACAAAATTAAGAATCTGCATCTGCGTTTATTATTACCTTTGTTAAACTTAGATCGACCATCCACCCAGAGCGCCCGAAAACTTGTTTTGCCTTCCAAGTAAGTGGTTAGATCAAAATATGAAGAAGAATAACTCCGTTTAAATTCAAATAATTTTTACACCTATTAGAGAAGTTCATTAGCTTTCAGAAAATATAAGAACTGGTACAAAAGGACACAACCCTCCAAGAGTGCAGAAAAAAAAAAAAAAAGAAAAATGCCATCAGCACTCCGTGTTCCCAGGTGGTCACCCTCCCAAGTACTGACGGAGCCCGATGCTGCTTAGCTTCGGTGATCGGACGAGAACCGGCGTATTCAGCATGGTATGGCCGATGGCAGGTACTAGGGCAACGAATGTTCGACTGCTGCCTGAGAAGATTGGTACACTCGGCTGTGGCGCACAAAATGGTAGAGACCCGCGGCAAAACAACACTCATGACAAAAGAGGAATCACTCACCCAAAGCAGTGCTTGTTTTCAGGATTACAGAGAGACACGGGAGGGAGGCGTTGGAATGAAAACCCGTTTCCAAGATAGATCGGTACTGGTTTGGCCCTGAAAAGGGCCGTTTTCGATGTGTGTCCGACGGCGAGACGGCTGTTAACCACCGAAACCATAGAGGGTACGGCCTTGCCTCTTGAGCGCGTACACCACATCCATGGCCGTCACGGTCTTCCTCTTGGCGTGCTCGGTGTAGGTGACGGCATCGCGAATGACGTTCTCCAGGAAGACCTTGAGGACGCCGCGGGTCTCTTCATAGATGAGGCCGGAAATGCGCTTGACACCACCGCGGCGGGCTAGGCGACGGATTGCAGGCTTGGTGATCCCCTGGATGTTATCGCGAAGAACCTTGCGATGGCGCTTGGCACCACCCTTGCCCAGGCCCTTGCCGCCCTTGCCTCTTCCAGACATGTTTGCTGCAAAAACAGGGACGGAAAACACGACCGCACCGTTCGCCTACTTCAACAAAGACTGGCGGCAATGCTCTACGGGTCCGACCAAGTGAACCCACGACGGCCTCCTCCTCTCCCGCCGACGAATGGGAGCAGTCCTGCAGCTTCGTATTGTGGCCGACAGGTGGCTGCGCACTGGAAGCAAGCGTGTGTTGATGAAATGCATGGCTTTAGCAAAGGCATTCATACACCTCGCCCATTTTGAGTCTTCATAGTTGTATGTGCAAAACATTGTTTTTTCTAGGTTCCAGGAGATATATATTTTAGCGGGATTAAGATTCGTTTTCGCTAAGTCAATGGGAGCAACATGTCAACTCAGGAGTGCCGAGCTTCGCACCGATGCAGCTAGTCAAGGGCCCGTTTTCACATGCGAATAAAAAAGAGTTTTATAAACGTTCGAGCAATCTATTCATCGGAACTTGTACAAGACACACTCTTCTCACGGCACACAAAAATTAAAGTTTCTTATCACTGGCGTTTTTAAGCGCGCAGTGCAATTCACCGCCATGGTGAGCCGGGTCGACAGCAAGTTGGGTCACCCAAGAACACAGTTTGATCAAAATATTGACTTATATAAAAGGGTCCGGTTTTAAGTGCTTATTACACGGGACGAAAAGTCTTTTTGGCTGGCAAAAAATTTGATACTGAAAAACTTTTTACCAAGCCTTCGGTCTGTTAAGAAGCAAAACCTGCCACCCGAAAGCGGCCAGTTCGTGCCGCTGCCGCGAATCGCGCAAATGAAGTAAACTAATAAAACAATTTCGTCTAAATTTAAATGCTTTTTATACCTACCGAAGAATTTCATTAGCTTTCAGAAAATATACACTTCGGTAAGCGTAAAGATATTTTTCGTTGCGTTAGAGAGCGAAACAGGCGAAGCCGTAGGGCCGGCTTCGCGCTCGGGCCGGAATTCGATCGTCCAAGATCAGGCAAAAATTAAAAATAAAAAAAAAACTACTCGCTTTAGAAGAGTCTCTTTTTCTGTGCTCTTAGCGCACACCTTTTTTTAGCGGCACACGAAATTAAGAATCTGTAGCTACGTTTTTTATTACCTTTTTTAAGCTTAAATCGACCAGCCGCCCTTAGCGCCCGAAAACTAGTTTCGGCTTCCAAGTAAGCGGTTAGATCGAAATATGAAGAAGAATAACTCCGTTTCAATTCAAATGCTTTTTACACCTATTGAAGAAGTTTATTAGCTTTCAAAAAATATATACTTCGATATGCGTAAAAATATTTTTCGTTGCGTTAGAGAGTGAAACAGGTGAAGCTGTAGAGTCCGGCGCGCGCTCGAGCCGCGATTCGATCGTCTTAAGATCAGGCAAAAATTAGAAATAAAAAGAACTACTCGCTTTAGAAAAGTCTCTTTTTCTGTGCTTTTAGCGCACACTTTTCTCTAGCGGCACACAAAATTAAGAGTCTTTATCTACCTTTTTTTAAACTTAAATCGACCAGCCACCCAGAGCGCCCGAAAACTAGATTTGGCTTCCAAGTAAGTGGTTAGATCAATATATGAACAAAAAATAACTCTGTTTAAAATCAAACGCTTTCTACACCTATTGGAGAAGTTCATTAGCTTTCGGAAAATATATATTTCGATATGCGTAAAAATATTTTTCGTTGCGTTAGAGAGGGAAACATGTGAAGCTGTAGAGTCCGGCGCGCGCTCGTGCCGCGATTCGATCGTCTAAGATCAGGCAAAAATAAAAATAAAAGTACTCGCCTTGAAAGAGTTTCTCTTTTTTGTGCTGTTAGTACACACTTTTCTTTCGCGGCACACGAGATTAAAAGCCTGTATCTACGTTTATCATTGCATTTTTTAAACTTAAAATAAGAACACTCGAATTTAAAAGCAAGTTATTTGATACAACCGTGGCTCTAAAAAGAAAAACGCTGCAACTCGAAAACACAACACTTTGGAGTATGGGCTCCCAACGGCTAAAAACCACGCGAATATATCCTTTACATACGCGAGCGATGTGCAATATTTAGGAAGGTCACTCGTGCCCTCAAAAGCAATGAAATACAATGTTTTTTTTTTCACCGAAACAAAATAAACGACATCCGACTGTGGCTACAAGAAGCCAAGTTCGACTGCACAACAAGAAAAAAGACATACTCTTTGCAAACATGCGCGATGCAGAAGCACTGGGTACTCACATATTTCTTGAAAAGAGAGACACGGGAGTTGGAAGTCATCGAGAGACGGCCGTTTTGCAGGGATGAGTATGGCCCTCAAAAGGGCCGTTTGTACATACAGCAGGGAGATAGCTCCTGGGTGTTACTTGGAACTGGTGTACTTGGTGACAGCCTTGGTGCCCTCGGACACCGCATGCTTTGCCAGTTCACCCGGCAGCAGGAGCCTCACAGCTGTCTGGATCTCCCGACTCGTGATGGTCGAGCGCTTGTTGTAGTGAGCCAGCCGAGACGACTCTGCTGCGATGCGCTCGAAGATGTCGTTCACGAAGCTGTTCATGATCGACATGGCCTTGCTGGACACTCCGGTGTCGGGATGGACCTGTTTGAGCACCTTGTAGATGTAGATGCTGAAGCTCTCCTTCCTCTTGCGCCTCTTCTTCTTCTTGTCGGTGGCACGCACATTTTTCTGTGCCTTGCCCGCCTTCTTCACTGCTTTTCCGCTCGGTTGGGGGGGCATCCTCGCGCGACTTGTCTTCGGGAGAAGATCGACGTTGTTACTCGCAAAAAGATGGCGAAACAACAACTGGGGCAACCTGAAATTTTCGAGAGAGAGAGAGAGAGAGAGAGAAGTCTTGCAAAAGAGGAAAAACCATCGTTGGAGTTACAGCCATGGGCCGAACGGTCATCGTTGGATTGGGGGAAGGGAAGGGGATAAAAGCTGATAGAAGAAAAAATTGTGAAAAAAGAGAGAGGGAGGTTGTTTCGCCAAAGCCGACAAGCGGGGCGCGAGGAGCCACAGAAAGTGGCTGGCAGAAAAGGGGGCGGAGCCGAGGAAGGAAGGAGATCCTTTAAATGTCCAAGTGTCTTGTCCAGAAGCCTGTAGCACATCTTCACAGAGTCTAGGATGAACGAATCGGGTTCGGCACGCGGTGTCCGAATTTCCAAGCACTGTCACCAGTCACACCAACACCAAGTTTCCCAGTATTCCGAGCCAAAGTGCAATGGGTCGGCGAGCATCTCTCTGCTGCATGTATACACAACACGGCGTTGCGAAAGGATTGGGGGGAACATTAATAGATTCCGTTCCCTCAACAGGGGCGGTCGAGCCTATTGTATGCATAAGGGACATTCCGCAGAGTGCTACGGAATGACATTCTTTGCCTGTGTTTGGCTGAGTGACCCACGCGATTTAACGCGTGGTTCACCAAACGCAAAGGTAGAAATTACTTGTATGGCATTTTCTGAAAATGCCTGACCCTTGGCATGCCTAGGGTTTACTAGCTTCCGAATCTATCATTCGAAAACTTTTCACGGCTGGGCGAGGTTAGTTCCTGCCCATTAAAAGGGAAAAAAAAAGAATTCCGAATTTATTATTCGAAACCCGGACTCAGTAAGGTTATTCCTTGCCCGCGAGAGAAGAATCAACATAAATAAGAAAAATGGCACGGCGCCAGAGCGGGACAGCGCGCGGGGAGATTGTTTTGCCAAAGCAGAAGGGGCCCCGCGCGAGGGGCAGACCTGGCGAGAATAAAGAATAGAAAAACAAAACGCCGGAGGGAAGCTATCAGTTAGGATTTGCACAAAGAGCAGTCCCTGCTGCGAGGCAGGAAAGAAGAGATCAAAAATAAAAGCTAAAAGCAGACAAAGAACGCGAGAGAGAGGCTGTCAATCAAATCGTGCGCGAAGGACGCACCCGACAAGAAGCGAAGCCAGAGAAAGAAAAGTTAACCAATACAGTCTAAAAGTGTTAAGTGGGTCAGGGGGCCCACGCAAGGGGTGGCCCAGCGCGCGCGTTCCAAGAGGAGCTATCAGTTAGAACTTGTACAAAGAGTCCTCCCCGCTGAAGGCAGGAAAGAAAAATAAAACTAAAAGCCAAAAAGCAGACGGAAAACGCGAGAGAGAGGCTGTCAAACAAGTCCGGCGCCAAGAACGTACCGGTCAAGAAGCAAAGCCAAAGAAGAAAAGAAAACCAATACAGTCTAAAAGTGTTAAGTGGGTCAGGGGGCCCACGCGAGGGGTGGCCCAGCGCGCGCGTTCCAAGAGGAGCTATCAGTTAGAACTTGTACAAAGAGTCCTCCCCGCTGAAGGCAGGAAAGAAAAATAAAACTAAAAGCCAAAAAGCAGACGGAAAACGCGAGAGAGAGGCTGTCAAACAAGTCCGGCGCCAAGAACGTACCGGACAGGAAGCAAAGCCAAAGAAAGAAAGATAAACAATACAGTCTAAAAGAGTTAAGTGGTTCAGGGGGCCCTCGCAAAGGGTGGGCCTGCGCGCGCGTTCTAAGTGGAAGGCAGTTAAGTAAACAGAAAGAAAAGAGAAGCTGAGTCTAAAGAGGAGGCTACAAGAAAGGAGAGAGAAAAAATAACAGCCGGGGGTGCAGCGCGAGGGAGAACCAAGGCGAATAAAGTAAAGAGAAGAAAAACGCGAGAGAGGAGCTGTCAATCAGCTCGGCAGCAAGGAGGAGAGATTACGGGAGAGGAGGACGCGACGCCCTGCAGGCCCTGCCTGGATAGCGATCGCGTCCCCCTCCGCCACGCGACCGGCGGAGAAACCGAGTTTCCCCGAAGGAGGGAAAGGAGGAGCGTTTTCGGCGGGCGGGCAGCAGCGCCAGGCCAGGCCTTCCTAGTGGGGTGAGCTTTCCCCGAAGCTCTGCGGCTGTCGTCTGCTACAGATCCTTTGTCTCTTGCGCGACCGTTGCAGCCTAGATCTCGCCGGCCAGCCCCGTCTCGACGAGGAATCCTGCGAGCGCTGTTAGGGCACTTTGCGCCGCCTTACCTTGCGGTCTGATTAGAGTTTCAAAGCTGTTCGTGCTACATCCAAGAGTGATGTAGCGACGAAACAATCGCTCACGTTCCTCGCCGAAGTCCGGGCACTCGCGGAGGAGATGATCGGCGTCCGCGACGGCCGCCGCGCATCTCGGGCAGCTTCGGTCGCCGTCGGCTCGCCACCTCGCTCTGTAGTCGGGGGTGAAGGCGCTGCTCGTGCGCAGCCTGTGGATCACCGCCGCTTCGCCTCGCCGCATGTTCCTCGGGGGCCTCGGGGGCAGGGGCCCGTGCTCGAGCTCGGGGTGGCGGGCTGCCACCACTCTTCTGACCAACAGGCGTGCATCGGAGAAGGCCGGGACCTCGGAGATCGGGTATGCAGGATCCTCCTGCGCTTCGGCGGCAAGGCGATCTGCTCTTTCATTACCTGCTATTCCACAGTGTGCAGGAACCCATTGGAAGGCCAGCGTCCATCCCCGGCGCTGCAGCTCGATGGCTTTTTGGGCCACCACCTTGGCCAGTGCTGGGGCCCTGTCCAGGTTCTTCAGGAGTCCGAGAGCAGCCTTGGAGTCACAGAGTATCACCAGGCGGTCTGGCTGCCCCTCGGTGTCCACGATGGACAGTGCCAGGATCAGCGCCGCCAGCTCAGCTGTCGTGGAGGTCGCCTGGAAAGAGAGCCTCTCGGCGGCCGTGCGGCCGGTGTCCTCCGACACGGCCGCGGCGCTGGCCGAGTGGCTCGCCGGATTTACAGACCCGTCCGTGAACGTCTTCGCCCAGCCCAGGAAGTGCTCGTGGATATGATGCTCCGCGTGCTGCCTCGCCGTCGTCTCAGCCATGTGCCTCTTTGGTGCATCGAGACCTGCGTTCAGTTCGACTCGCAGCGGGGGCTCCTCGCTCGGTGGTGGTGGTGTAGGGTTGTTCCCCGGGCCGCCCGCGATCCGAAAAAGTTCCCTCGCGTGCGCGGCGAGTTGGGACCGTGTGCGTTGTAAAATACGCTCGGGCAGCCCGGTTGTGCCCCTCGACTCACCGATCCGGATGAGGTGCCGCATCGCTCGTTCGGCCGCTGCGAGTCTTACCGTGGTGACGCCTGCATCGTTCAGTGTGTGGCGCGAGGAGGCCGTGCGGGGGACTCCGAGGCAGACGCGAAGTGCAGTGCGTTGCATCCGTTCGAGCAGTTCCCACTGGTTCTCTGTGAGTGTTAGTAGCGGCAGTGCGTACAGTGCGCGAGAAAGAATCAATCCCTTGTAGAGGGTCAACAGCATACCCTGTGAGGTTCTGCGGCGAGTACCTGCAAGCATTTGGATTATACGCGCGTGGCGTCGGCACTTACGGATTACCTCTGCAACCGCAGGAGCCCATGTGGCTTTCCTGTCCAGTTGCACCCCCAGGTAAGCTGCTTGCTTCTTGATTGGAATTTCTGTGCCGCCTGCTTTGATTGACATTGAGAAGCGATATGTGTAGTGGGGGGCATTGCACAGAACGACGGACTTGCTCGGGGAGAGGGACAGGCCGAGCAGGGAAAGATAGTGCTCAATGTTGGTGACTCCTCTCTGCAAAGCTTTCCGCACGGCCCCTCGGTGCCATCCCCGAGCAGTTGCCCAAAGTGCAATGTCGTCTGCGTAAACCGCTATTTGGAGGCGCTTGACTCCCTTTTGGCCAATGTTTATGATTTGCGGGAGGGCCGACATAGCCACATTAAATAGCAAGGGGGAAAGCACGCCCCCCTGGGGGACGCCACACCTGATTTTCCTGGGAGTGCTGAGTCCCTTGGCTGCTCGTACCTGCGCCTCTCTGCCGCTGAGATACGCCCTCACGTAACGGAGCGGTCGGCCCTCGATTCCTGACAGCCTGAGCATGTCCAGAATTGCTGAGTGTTTGACGGCGTCGAATGCTTTAGACACATCGAGAAGGACGACTCCCGTCGTCCATCTCTTTGCCTTGCTTTCCTCGAGCGTGGTCACCAGATCCGCGATGGCGTCTGGGGTGCAGTGATGCCGTCGGAATCCACACGTGCTTTCCGGGTAGCCGCCCACCGACTCGAGATGGTATTCGAGTCGGCTTTTCACCATTCGTTCGAGTAGTTTCCCCATGCACGACGTGAGCGCGATGGGTCGGAACGAGCTGGGATCTTTTCTGGGCTTACCCGGCTTGGGGATCGGGACGACGACTGCCGAACGCCATTCGGAAGGGATGTTGGCGTCTCGCCACGCTCGATTGAACAATTCTAGCAGCGCTGGGTAGCTCGCTTTGTCGAGGTTTCTCAGCGCTGCAGCGGTGACGCCGTCTGCTCCGGGGGCCGACTTTTTACGTGGGAGCGATGCCAGGGCGCGTTCCAACTCGTGTAGCTGGAAGTCTCCGAGCCCCTCTGTCATCTGGGGCTTCGCGTGCCACTTCCAGTCTCGCCATCCGGGCGGTGCATCTCGGGCGGCAGGCGCGGGTGGGGGGGAGAGCAGTGCGTCCGCTAGAAGTTCTCGGACGTCTGCATCGGAAATGTTAAGCGCGAGTGCCATACCTGCAATAGGATCTCGCGGTCCCGGTCGGTTGCAGAGGGTCTTGGCCATTTTCCACGCCTTGGTGGCCCCACGGGGGCCGTCGAAGGACTCACACTTCTGCTTCCACTGCTCCCTGGCGAGCCTCTTACCGTGTCGCTTGAAGAGTGCATCCTGGCGTCGGTAGCGGAGTGTGTCCTCGTGACGGCCCGTCCGCAGGGCCACCCTCTGTGCCTGGCGTCTTTGTGCTCGGAGTTGGAGCCAGCGAAAGTCAGGATTAGGACGCTCAACGGGGATACTCACTGACGTGGTGGCCTCTTTGAGTGCGGCGCCGATGGCCTGGCTGTCAAGGGGCCAGCCCATCGCCTCGTACTGGCGGAGGAAGGCACGATACCTGTCCCAGTGGACCACCTTGCACGTTCGATTGGGTGGCCGTGGGGCAGGTCCCGATGTTATGGGAACGTGGTCGCTCCCCCAGCTGTCTTGCTCGAGCACCGTGGTCAGTGGGAATCGCGCCGAGCAGAACGTTAAATCGAGTACGCTCCGCTCGACGCCTCGTCCGATGAATGTGGGCTGCCCTGTTCCGCTGTACTCCAAGTCGGTTTGGGCGAGGGCCTCCTGCAAACGCTTGCCGCGCGCGGTCGTTTTCCTGTCCCCCCACAGCTCGTTGTGCGAGTTAAAGTCTCCGCCGAGAATGATTATGCCCTGCTCTCGCGCGTGAATTTGTTTTACAACCTCTCCACCCCACGCCGCGTTGGGGTGAGTGTAGCAAGAAAAGATAGAAAATGTCTGGTTATTTTTCTTTACCCGAATACCTACAAGTTCCGAAGTGTCCGAGCAGTAATCGGCGCTCTCGATCCGGCAGTGGGTCGCGTCTTTGTGGACGAGCACGGCCGCCCAGGGTTGTTTTTCCCGGCCGGGGCAGCAGTAGGTGGTGTAGCTGGGAATGGTTAGTTTGCTCACGTCCATTTTTGGCTCCTGCAGCAGCACCACCTCGTACGGCCTTGCCAAGAGTTCTGCCCTCAGGTGGGTGAGGCGGTTGCCGAGCCCGTTCGCGTTCCACTGGAGGATCGAGGGACAACCTTTCACAGCATTAGGCTTACTTGTTTTCTTAGGGCCTGTAGGCATTCTCAGTTCCTTGCCGCGAACGTTGCATCCCCGCGGTGATGCTGTGTAGTAAGGTCCCCTCCGGGATCATGGCTGTAGCCTGCCGATTCTTGAGGAAAACCGGGATTAGTGTTTGGAGCAGATCCTCCAGGGTGTGGATCATGTCGCGCATTTCCTGCGCGGTGGGGGGCGTGTCCGTCTCGTCCCGCCGAGGGGAATCCCCGGCGCTGTCTCCTGGGGAGGCTGCGGGGAAGGGGGGTGAGGGGGGCACCTGTTCTTGCTGGGGGAGAGGCCTTTCCCTCTCGCCCCCGGGTCGGTCGTCCGCGCGGGGAGAGGAGGACCCTCGCAGGTGCCGTGCGTCAGCTGGGCGCCGGTCATTGACCCCTCGCCGCTGCTGTTGGCTGTCTGGACGGTAGGACCTGCGATAGACCTCCTCCCGCCGCTGCGGCTTACCGACTTCGGGGATTTTGGTGCTGGGTTCCGTGCTAGTGGAGGCCTCTCTTGTCTTTACCTGTGGGGGCTGTGGGACGACTGGGGGGATTAGTTCGCGAGTCCTACTCACCGCGTTTGGCCGACTGCGCGCTTCCAGCGTTGGGAAAGTGTCTCCCCAGACTGAGCTCGCTGGGAGCACGCTGGTCTGCCACGCGGGAGTCTGGCTGGCTCCGCTGTGCATCCAGGGGGGCGGGGTGGCGGTCTGCTCCTGCGCTCGCTTGCCTTTTTCTTGTGGAGTTCGGCGGCGACACGTTTGGCCTCCTTCCAGTTGCAGCCGGTGTCGCGGACCGCCTCGGCCTCGCGCTTGTGTTGTTGGTACACGCTGCATCCCTTGTCGAATGCAGCGTGTCTGCACTTGCAGTTGGGGCAAATGGGGGTGAGTTTTGTCGCGCACTTACCCCGAGGGTGCCTGCCCCTGCATGTAGGGCAGGCAGTGGGCAGCGTGCACGCGGACTGCACGTGGCCGAAGCGTCCGCATCCCCAGCACTGCGTTGGCCGGACGTGTCGTGCCTCCACGACAAACTCGATGTCATAGATCAGGACCGTGGCTGGTAGGGGTCCGCCGAAGAAGAGCTCCGCGTACCGCCCTCCGCTGAACCGTCTGATGTGGTCCACGGGCACCTCGCTTTCGAGGCCTCGGGTCAGCTGTTCTGTTGCGTCATTGGGGCAAAGTCCGCGGATTACGCCGATACTCACCGCTCTGGCCGGCGCGAGGGTGGCATGGAGAGGGAGGCTCGCCAGCTTGTCGGTGCCTAGGAGGCGGTGGGTCATTGCCGCGCTCGTTGTTTCGACCGCCATCACGTTTCGCCTGAGATTGAAACGTGTGGCGGCCGCCTTGCCGCCCGTGACCTGTCGAAGGCCCTGTGCCAAGGAGACTCTGTTCTCGAGGGTTAGCTTACCTGTTCCCGTTGGGCGGAGCAGGACTGTGGACCCCTTTGCGGGGAGTTCGTCTAAGGAGGGAATTGGTTGGTTACCCTTGCCTTTGTTTGTCTTACGTGAGGCCCCGGATGTTGGGGGGCTTGTCACTGTGGGGGGGGTTGTCGCTCGGGGAGGGGTTGCTGCACCGTCCTTCCTTTTTTGTTGCAGTTCCTCGATGAGGGTGTTGCAGTCCTTGCTGCCTGCTTCCAGAAGTGCTGCAAACTGGTTGGAGGTGTTTACAGTCACCTGGAGTTGGTCGTCATCCTCCTCGGAGGTGTTGTCAGGTGTGGAGTCACTGGGGCTCGATGTTGTGTCCCCGCTTGCTTCGGAGGGGCTGTCGCTGTTCTCGCAGTCGTGGAACAGGTCCACGACTTCGTCCGGGAGCCGATCTGCATTTGGGTGTACTAAACCGGCACTTTTTAGTACACCTAGGATGGCGTCCGGTCGGGGGACGCCATCCTTCGGGGGCTCGTCGCGCTCCACGTGGGCGCCGTCCTCGTGGCTCTCGGGTGCCACGCGGAGGCTAGCCTCCGCGCGGGATCCGGTCCCCACGAGGTTTTCCGCGTTGTCCACGTGGCTCGCGCCGGCTGGCGGTAACGAATGGTTACCGTCTGTGTTTGGTTTGGGCTTCATGGCCCTGCTCCGCAGCAGGTACCCCGAGGGGTCCTCTGTCTCCTTTGAGTGGTCCGTGGTCAGTTGGTCCGGGGGCATGCCTGCGTCGGTGCCCTCCCGAGGGAGGGCGGGGGGTAAACTACAAACTGTTTAAATAAAGGTCCCTCCGCCTCTTTAAGGCAGAAGGATCTTTAACACTAACTAGCTCTACTCTATCTTAATTCTTCTTCACATTACGAAGTTAGGGTTAAAGCTAAGACTAAATTCAAAATGGCGCTTATATTGGAGCTAACAAATCACACGTCTACTTTATTTGCCAACTCTTCTAAAAGTCCCTGAAATTTTCAGTTTTCTTTGCTCTTTTTATAGGTTTTCACAGCATTCTGAAAAATGTGCTCCGATTGGCCAGCATTCTAGAGCGCGGGAAACAGTGCGCTGTGATTGGACTACGCCCAAAATAACGCTTCGCGATTGGTTGCTGCGCGAACCAATGAGCAAGCAGTTTGAAACTACAATTTTTTGGGAGAGGAGTGCTATGAAGCAGAGAATAGGAGGTAAAAGCGCTAAAAAACGACGGACAAGTTGAAGAATGACGAACACCACAGAGCGCTAACTTGCAACTGAAGTTTATTACTGAAAAACACGTACACATATATACACCGTGACATCAAAAAGACAAGTGGCAATAATGCCGCTTCATCTATCTAAGGTTAATCTATGAATTGTTTACTCTTTCGAATGATTTCAAATATGCCACCTCAGAGCTATACAGGTTTACTGAGGGAGCGCTGACACACTTGCCCTGATCGTACTTCAAAATAAAAAACGCCTCCGATATCTCTCTCGTTTTTTTGTCTCTATTCCGAGTTAAGATAACGGTGTTGTCAAGCCGTGGGACATACCCACATCTGTTACAGTGTACAGCCAGATTGCCCGAGGGTGATGATCTAACTGACAGGGCATGTTCCCTGAGTCTGTCGTTTATGCACCGACCCGATTGCCCGATGTACACCTTTCCGCATGATAAAGGAATTTTATACACCACTTGTTCCTTACACTCTACGTATCTTGTTTTATGATTCTTATGGCATACGCCTACGCGCTCATCACCACGTGCCACCCTTCCACATAGCTTACTCAATTTTTGAGGGGCTGATAAGAGTACAGGCGCCTTCTTCACTGCTTTTCCGCTCGGTTGGGGGGGCATCCTCGCGCGACTTGTCTTCGGGAGAAGATCGACGTTGTTACTCGCAAAAAGATGGCGAAACAACAACTGGGGCAACCTGAAATTTTCAGTTTTCTTTGCTCTTTTTATAGGTTTTCACAGCATTCTGAAAAATGTGCTCCGATTGGCCAGCATTCTAGAGCGCGGGAAACAGTGCGCTGTGATTGGAGTACGCCCAAAATAACGCTTCGCGATTGGTTGCTGCGCGAACCAATGAGCAAGCAGTTTGAAACTACAATTTTTTGGGAGAGGGTTTTGGGAGAGGAGTGCTATGAAGCAGAGGCAGTGCAAGGCGAAAACGCGCTCTTGCAGCGCCCCCCAAGCGGAGAGGACTGGCACTTCCTTTGATTTTCTGCTTCTCGATGCGCTGACTCCCTCACTCACTCAGTGTTCGTTGGTTTGTTCGGTTGTCCACTTCTCACCTCCACCAAGATGTCTGGGCGCGGAAAAGGAGGCAAGGCAAAGGGCAAGAGCAAGACCCGTTCCAGCCGCGCGGGGCTCCAGTTTCCCGTGGGAAGGATCCACCGACTACTGCGAAAGGGCAACTACGCGGAGCGAGTAGGTGCCGGTGCCCCCGTCTACTTGGCGGCCGTACTCGAGTACCTGGCTGCCGAAGTGCTCGAGCTGGCAGGAAACGCGGCCAGGGACAACAAGAAAACTAGGATCATCCCTCGACACCTGCAGCTGGCCATTCGCAACGACGAAGAGCTCAACAAGCTGCTGTCCGGCGTTACCATCGCGCAAGGAGGTGTCCTGCCCAACATCCAGGCCGTCCTCCTTCCCAAGAAGACCGAGAAGAAGGCCTAAACCATCCCGCGGCATCCGCTACAGAAAAACGGTCCTTTTCAGGACCACTCATGACTTGAGTACAGGATACTCATTTCCGTGCGCTAGTCTTCCGTGTCTCTAAACACTCGGGTATGTGCATTTAAATTTCCTTTTTGTGCAATGCCGACAGTGTTTCTCTTTCATCACCTACAGGCCTTGAATGCCACTCTTAGGCATTCTCCCATGCATAATATTTACGCTGCGTTTAATGCCAAATTCTTTCACGTGTGCGAATTGCCCGAACAAGACTTGCTGTCGGGCGCAAAGGCCAGCATTGCTTGTTATTTGAACTCGTAAAACCACCGCTGCACTGCCTCGCTTTGAGAGGATTTGAAGCTCTTTCTACGAGAGTCAACAATCGGAGCAGCATTTCCCCGAAACCGGCAGAGGGCAATAAATGTTGTGGACATCCCTCAAAAACAGATAATTACTCCACGGGTTTTTGTTGGTCGAATCTATAATCGTGATATTCGCTGATTGCTAGAAAATGAACCCTGTAATGTCTCGGGAAAGGTTTTTTTCTTCTTTATTTATTTCATTCAACAACACTTTAGAAAACAAGGAACACATGAAGGAATCGTTGGAAGCAACTGCGAACGGAGCACTTGGCACAATGCAAACTAGTTCAAAATGGGAGAATAAATAGAAAGTACTCACAGCTTTTGAACTCCTGCACTTGGAACAAGTCAGCATCGGAGATTGAGACACGGGAGGACGTCGCTTTACACATGTCCGAAAAGCATGTCTGATGTGGCCCTGAAGAGGGCCGTTTTTGTGGCGTTGCCTGCCGCTTCCAAAGAAGCGACATTAAGCGCGTTCACCGCGGATGCGACGAGCCAGCTGGATGTCCTTAGGCATGATGGTTACCCGCTTGGCGTGGATGGCACAGAGGTTGGTGTCTTCGAAGAGACCGACCAAGTAGGCCTCGCTGGCCTCCTGCAGGGCCATTACAGCCGAGCTCTGGAAGCGGAGGTCCGTCTTGAAATCTTGCGCGATCTCCCGCACTAGCCTCTGGAAGGGCAGCTTGCGGATGAGCAGCTCAGTCGACTTCTGGTAACGACGAATCTCACGCAGCGCGACCGTGCCCGGCCTGTAGCGATGCGGCTTCTTGACTCCACCGGTTGCAGGAGCACTCTTCCGGGCGGCCTTCGTAGCCAGCTGCTTGCGCGGTGCTTTTCCTCCCGTGCTCTTGCGGGCGGTCTGCTTCGTACGGGCCATTCCGAAACGTTGGGACAATAAAACGAGAGAGCTAGCAAACAGCAACACACCTCGACTCCTGACGACCAACTGCCTCAGCGCGAGTGGCGAAACTTCCTTCCCGACAAGGCCTCTCGGCCAATCAGAGAGCTTGTTCATTCTGGATGCTGTTTTGGGCAAGTTTCTTGCGAGGGACAGCGCACGTGGCTCGCTAGGACAATATTTCACGATTGAAGTGATCTAAACTTGTGGGGATAATGTGGAACCAACGTTAGAGCACAGAATCGAGCAAAAATTAGACTCCCAACCTTGTTATTTTAGAAACGGCACGGTTATAAACATTCGTTACCTTCTCCAGTGGGCCGCGCTCGCCTCTCGTCCAATCAGCGCGCTTGTTCATTCTTGGATGCTGTTTTGGGCGACTTTCTTGCGAGGGCCTATGCGCTTGGCTCCGTAAAATAATTTTTCTCGATCGAAGTAACTCAGACTTGTGAGGATAATGTGGAACCTATATTAGAGCACAGAATCGAGCAAAAATTAGACTCCAAACTTTGTTATTTTAGAAACGGCATGGTTACAAACATTCGTCACCTTCGAAGGGCTTCTCCCGGAGGTTCGCGCTCGCCTCTCTCGGCCAATGAGCGCTTGTTCTAGACGGTTTTTTTTCAGTCTCTCTCTGCTTACGATTAGAGTGGGTCATGTCCGAAGAAGTGTCCGCTCCTGCTGGGGTCGCGGCCCCCGCTGCCCTTAAGAGCCCCAAAAAGGCTTCCACGAAAGTGTCCAAGGGAAAGGCAAAGGCCGTGCCAACGCATCCCAAGGTGTCCGCAATGGTGACAGCATCCATCAGTGCGCTTAAGGAACGTGGTGGTTCATCTCTACAAGCCATCAAGAAATACATGTCTGCCAACTACAAGGTGGACGTCGAGAAGCTGTCTCCTTTCATCCGCAAGTATCTCAAGTCTGCCGTGGCTGCGGGAGCATTGGTGCAGACCAAGCGCAAGGGAGCTACCGGATCGTTCAAGCTGTCAGCCAAGTCCGACAAGCCCTCACCTGCTGCTAGGAAGCCCAAAAAGGAGGCTGGTGCTGCAAAGAAGCGCCCAGCCTCGGCAACTGCCGGTGCGGCCAGGAAGAAGAAGCCCGGGACTGCCAAGAAGTCGCCCGCAAAGAGGGCCAAGTCGGCCAAGCCCAAGTCGGCCAAGCCGAAAAAGCCAAAGGCAGAGAAGAAGGCTGCAGCACCCAAGAGCCCCAAAAAACCCAAGGCAGCAAAAAAGACCCCTGCCAAGAAGCCGGCTGCAAAGAAGGCTTCCTCCAAGAAATAGGTCTTCTCCTGGATATCCAGAGCGAAAAACAAAACGGCCCTCATCAGGGCCATAATTCGTTTGCATATCGGGGGATATGCACTTGCGTGGCATGCAGCTCCCGTGTCTCTCGCCACCTCTCTGTTCCAGCCTCGGTAAGCTGATTCCTGCTCTTTTGCAATGTGCACGAGGCATACTTGGTGTTATATTATTGTTTGTTCCCCTGTTAGCAGCATTTTATCTTTGTGTGTGGTACTCGTGAAGTCGTGGAGGCCCGCTTCACGCTCGAGCCGCGATTCGATCGCCTAAGATCAGGCGAAAATAAAAAAAACTACTCGCTTTAGAACAGTCTTTTTTTCTGTCCTCTTAGCGCACACCTTTTTTTTTTGCGGCACACGAAATTAAGAATCTGTATCTACGTTTATTATTACCTCTTTTAAACTTAAATCGACCAGCCGCCCTGACCGCTTGAAAACTAGTTTTGGCTTCCAAGTAAGAGGTTAGATCAAAATATGAAGAAAAATAGCTCCGTTTAAATTCAAATAATTTTTACACCTATTAGAGAAGTTCATTAGCTTTCGGAAAATATATACTTCGCTATGCGTAAAAATATTTTTCGTTGCGTTAGAGAGTGAAACAGGTCAAGCTGTAGAGTCCGGCGCGCGCTCGAGCCGCGATTCGATCGTCCAAGATCAGGCAAAAATTAAATATAAAAAGAACTACTCGCTTCAGAAGAGTCTCTTTTTCTGTGCTCTTAGCGCACACGTTTTTTTAGCGGCACACAAAATTAAGAATCTGCATCTGCGTTTATTATTACCTTTGTTAAACTTAAATCGACCATCCACCCAGAGCGCCCGAAAACTTGTTTTGCCTTCCAAGTAAGTGGTTAGATCGAAATATGAAGAAGAATAACTACGTTTAAATTCAAATAATTTTTACACCTATTAGAGAAGTTCATTAGCTTTCGGAAAATATATACTTCGCTATGCGTCAAAATATTTTTCGTTGCGTTAGAGAGTGAAACAGGTCAAGCTGTAGAGTCCGGCGCGCGCTCGAGCCGCGATTCGATCGTCCAAGATCAGGCAAAAATTAAATATAAAAAGAACTACTCGCTTCAGAAGAGTCTCTTTTTCTGTGCTCTTAGCGCACACGTTTTTTGAGCGGCACACAAAATTAAGAATCTGCATCTGCGTTTATTATTACCTTTGTTAAACTTAAATCGACCATCCACCCAGAGCGCCCGAAAACTTGTTTTGCCTTCCAAGTAAGTGGTTAGATCGAAATATGAAGAAGAATAACTCCGTTTAAATTCAAATAATTTTGACACCTATTAGAGAAGTTCATTAGCTTTCGGAAAATATATACTTCGCTATGCGTAAAAATATTTTTCGTTGCGTTAGAGAGTGAAACAGGTCAAGCTGTAGAGTCCGGCGCGCGCTCGAGCCGCGATTCGATCGTCCAAGATCAGGCAAAAATTAAAGATAAAAAGAACTACTCGCTTCAGAAGAGTCTCTTTTTCTGTACTCTTAGCGCACACGTTTTTTGACCGGCACACAAAATTAAGAATCTGCATCTGCGTTTATTATTACCTTTTTAAACTCAAATCGACCATCCACCCAGAGCGCCCGAAAACTTGTTTTGCCTTCCAAGTAAGTGGTTAGATCGAAATATGAAGAAGAATAACTCCGTTTAAATTCAAATAATTTTGACACCTATTAGAGAAGTTCATTAGCTTTCGGAAAATATATACTTCGCTATGCGTAAAAATATTTTTCGTTGCGTTAGAGAGTGAAACAGGTCAAGCTGTAGAGTCCGGCGCGCGCTCGAGCCGCGATTCGATCGTCCAAGATCAGGCAAAAATTAAAGATAAAAAGAACTACTCGCTTCAGAAGAGTCTCTTTTTCTGTGCTCTTAGCGCACACGTTTTTTTAGCGGCACACAAAATTAAGAATCTGCATCTGCGTTTATTATTACCTGTTTTAAACTTAGATCGACCATCCACCCAGAGCGCCCGAAAACTTGTTTTGCCTTCCAAGTAAGTGGTTAGATCGAAATATGAAAAAGAATAACTCCGTTTAAATTCAAATAATTTTTACACCTATTAGAGAAGTTCATTAGCTTTCGGAAAATATATACTTCGCTATGCGTAAAAATATTTTTCGTTGCGTTAGAGAGTGAAACAGGTCAAGCTGTAGAGTCCGGCGCGCGCTCGAGCCGCGATTCGATCGTCCAAGATCAGGCAAAAATTAAAGATAAAAAGAACTACTCGCTTCAGAAGAGTCTCTTTTTCTGTGCTCTTAGCGCACACGTTTTTTGAGCGGCACACAAAATTAAGAATCTGCATCTGCGTTTATTATTACCTGTTTTAAACTTAGATCGACCATCCACCCAGAGCGCCCGAAAACTTGTTTTGCCTTCCAAGTAAGTGGTTAGATCGAAATATGAAAAAGAATAACTCCGTTTAAATTCAAATAATTTTTACACCTATTAGAGAAGTTCATTAGCTTTCGGAAAATATATACTTCGCTATGCGTAAAAATATTT